GGGTATATAGAGGTTGTACTGTGATGATTTGTAGTCATAAAACCTCGGCAAATTTATTTGAGTTAGAAATGTTGATTTTGATGTGATAATGGGAATGGACTGGTTGGCCTCATGCTATGCTAATGTTGACTATCGTACGAAGATGGTTAGGTTTCAATTTCCTGGTGAACCCATCATTGAATGGAAAGGGAACATTGCTACATCGAAAGGTAGGTTTATTTCCTATCTTAAGGCAAGGAAAATGACCTTAAAAGGTTACATTTATCATTTCATTCGCGTTAGGGATGCAGAGGCGAAACCGCCTACTTTATAATCAATCCCTGTGGTCAACGAATTCCCAGATGTTTTCCCAGATGAACTCCCAGGCCTTCCTCCTAAAAGGGAGATTGAGTTTAGCATTGATGTGTTGCCTGACACTCAACCGATCTCTATCCCTCCATACAGAATGGCTCCAGCAGAGTTGCGAGAGTTGAAGGACTTGTTGGATAAGGGCTTCATTAGACCTAGCACTTCACCTTGGGGTGCACCAGTCGTATTCGTGCGGAAGAAAGATGGGTCGTTACAGATGTGTATCGACTATCGACAGTTGAATAAGTTTACTATAAAGAACAAGTATCCACTTCCAAGATTGATGACTTGTTTGACCAACTCCAGGGTGCCAAGTATTTCTCCAAGATTGATTTACGTTCAGGGTATCATCAGGTTAGGGTTAAGGAGAAGGATATTCCTAAGATGGCCTTCCGGACAAGATACATGCACTTTGAGTTCTTGGTAATGTCGTTCGGGCTAACAAATTCCCCAGCAGCTTTTATGAATCTCATGAATACTGTATTTAGGCCCTATCTTGATGTGTTCGTGATTGTATTCATTGATGACATTCTAGTATATTCTCGTTCGGAGGCGGAACATGTGGGCCACTTGCGGATAGTATTACAGACGCTTCAGGATCGTAAGTTATATGCTAAGCTCTTCAAATGTGAATTTTGGCTGAACTCAGTAGCGTTCCTTGGCCATGTGATAGCTGACGAGGGTATTAGTGTCTACACTCAGAAGATCGATGTAGTAAAGAATTGGCCGAGACCTACAACACTATCAGAAGTCCGCATCTTCCTAGGGCTAGCAGGATATTATAGGCGGTTTGTAGAAGGGTTTTCCTCTATATCATCACCATTGACTAAGTTAACACAGAAAGCTACCAAGTTCCAGTGGTCTGACACTTGTGAACGTAGTTTTCAGGAGCTAAAGAATCGATTGACATCCGCACCAGTGCTCACTCTCCCTGAAGGAACAGAAGGTTATGTAGTATATTATGATACCTCAGGTATAGGTTTGGGGTGCGTATTGATGCAGCTTGGAAGGTGATTGCTTATGCATCAAGACAATTGAAGAAGCATGAAAAGAATTATCCAACCCATGATTTGGAATTGGCTGCAGTAATATATGCTTTGAAGATATGGCGGCACTACTTATACGGCGTCCATGTTGACATCTACACAGATCATAGGAGTTTACAATACATCTTCAAGCAAAAAGAGTTGAATTTGAGGCAGCGTAGGTGGCTTGAATTACTGAAAGACTACAACGTCGAGATATTGTATCATCCCGGTAAAGCCAATGTTGTCGCAGACTCTCTTAGCCGTAAATCAATGAGAAGCTTAGTACATATTGAGGAAGGTAGATAGGGGTTGACTAAAGAGCTTCACCAGCTAGCCAATATGAGAATCAAATTGTTAGACTCTTATGACGGAGGTGTTACTGTACAGAATACATCAGAATCATCTTTGGTAGCCGAGGTAAAAGCACGGAAATATGAAGATCCTATCTTAGTACGATTATGAGAGAGCATTCATTAGTGTAAAAGTATGGCTTTTGAGATCGGAAGAGATGTGGCACTGAGATACCAGGGCCGATTATGTGTGCCTAATATGGCAGGGTTGCGAGAGAAGATTATGAATGAAATTCATCAATCCCGATATTCCATCCATCCCGGCTCGACAAAGATGTACCATGATCTCAAGGAGCAGTATTGGTGGGATAACATGAAGAAGTCTATTGCAGAATTTGTAGCCCAGTGTCCCAATTGTCAACAAGTAAATATAGAACATCAGAAACCCGGTGGATTGCTTCAGAATATAGAGATTCCGACCTAGAAATTAGAGGTGATTAATATGGACTTTATTATTGGATTACCTCGCTCTTATCATAAGTTTAACTCCATCTGAGTGATAATTGATCGACTTACAAAATGTGACCATTTTCTACCAGTTAAGACAACTTACACGGCTGAAGATTATGCGAAGTTGTATATCAAGGAGATTGTTAGGCTTCATGGTGTGCCGGTATCTATTATATTAGAACGAGAAGTTCAATTTACGGCTAACTTTTGGAGGTCTTTTCAGAAGGGTTTAGGCACACAAGTAAATCTCAGCACTGCATTCCATCCGCAGACTGACGGACAGGCTGAACGTACCATCCAGACGCTTGAAGATATGCTACGAGCATGTGTTCTAGATTTCAAGGGGAATTGGGATGACCATCTGGCACTTATAGAATTTGCCTACAATAATAGCTACCATTCCAGTATTAAAATGGCCCCGTATGAGGCACTGTACGGGAGGAGATGTAGATCACCAGTTGGATGGTTCGAAGTCGGTGAAACAGAATTATATGGGCCAGATTTGATTCACCAAGCTATTGAGAAGGTGAAAGTGATACAAGAGCGATTGAGGACGACACAAAGCAGGCAAAAATCTTATTCCGATGTCCGATGTCGTGATTTGGAGTTTGAGGTTGGTGATTGAGTTTTCCTGACGATCTCACCAATGAAGGGTATTATGCGTTTTGGGAAGAAAGGTAAGCTGAGTCCAAGGTATATCGGGCCGTATAAAATTCTTTGATAGATTGGACAGGTTGCTTATGAGTTAGAATTGCCATC